TAATGAGAGCCAAAGCTCTAAGAACTTTCAACACGGCCTTATAGAGCGGTATGTGTCTAGCCATGTCCAATGCTGAACCATTTCTTAAATTTTCTTCCGCCGTCTTACGAACGGAGGACGAATTGAGAGATCTCCAACCAATAGAAACACTTTCGTACCATCGTATTATCGTACAAACGGATGCATGGGACACGGGGCTAAACTGTATTATGGGCTTAGGTGGGCCCCCAAAAAAAATTCGAGGTGTTACAAATAGAAAAAAGGTAATTCAATGTTCGGTTCCGCACACTTGGAATCTTCTCTGCTACCATATAGTGATTACTTTTAAAATTGGTTAAGCTGACGATCGTTAATTAAAATTAAAAAATTGGACACCCTTTCTGTACACGCTAACGATGCCTGAATAGAGAATATAATTGTGCTTTTTCAGGATGCCAATACTGGCCATCGAGTTGATATGGTCCTAAAGTGGTTGAAAGCAACCGCAGATGAATGCTTGCGAACAGGGAATACTAGAAACTGTAGCCCCACGTACGTTTCCAGTATAGCATCCATCTTGTGGTTCAGTAAAGAGGCCGAAATTGGCTACGACTTGAAGGAACTTATAACTCTGGACCTGTTTGATGCGATCTACGATTTGAAAATGAGAACCACCAACAACAGTTTAAAATATACATTGGATTGTCTTCTGTGCTCCGTGTGCTACATTCGTTCCGAATTATTTCCGCTGTTGCTGCAGAAAGTCGGCGTTCTTGTGCCCAATCTGTCCACTGATCGAGCCGCCTCAATCAGCGATGATCGCAAAGATGCAGAAGGAATGACGGATGACCACAAGGAAGACTACGCGAATTGCGAATGGTATGGTCATTTGATCATACGGGATTTGTCGGAATTGGATTTATCGCAAGAACAACTGGAGACTGTGGCTTTGGCTAGCAGGTCACCCACCGCAATCCAGCAACTGTTAGACTCAGGGTTGCCGAAACTGTTGAATAACGCCATTCACGAATTTTGCAATAAGAACGACCAGGACAGTTCGGTGCCGATGGCCAAACTCGAGCAAGTGGCCGCAATATTGCAGTTCTTTACTAACGCCTGTGATGAGAAGATGCTTAGAGACTGGCTTGGATCCCCAGATGGATCTTCGTTTTGGCCTCAGCTCTTACATTGGCTCTGCAAGAATCCATTCAACAGCGCCAATATGCAGTCCGAGGCCCTCGTACATTTAGAAGAAATTTGTGTGAAGTTTTTGTCGAAATGCTGTTTGTGTCATCCGACGAATCAAGCTCGTTTAGCGACAGTCCTATGTGAAGTGATATCCTTGCAGCAAAACGACATTTCTGGCTTTTTGCGCCGACTTATACTTCAGTTGCTTCTGGAGAACGAGAAAGTGCCAGTCATCATTGAAGCAAATTTTGCACTCTACCAAAACTTCAACATTTTTGAACTGATCGTTCCAGTCCATCCGGCATTTAAACAGACACACCATCGCAGAACGTCGTATATGAGTACTTCAACCTGTTTAGGCGAAATCTTGGAGGGATATATTTCGTGCCCCCCCAACGCGTCCGCCTCCAAATCGGAATCGGTATCGTCCAAAAAGTCTTCGACCATATCAAAAAAAGACACCTCGCATCTCAAAGACTTTTATGTGGCGGAGTTTGGAGTGTTAAGCATGGCCGCGGGAAATACTGCTAAAGACAAACGTGCTAAAGACATTAAGAATCTTGCTGCTGTCACACCCCAATCGAAGAAGAAGCGCTACGCGTCAGAGACTCTGGTCTACGATATAATCGAGGGGCGATGCATCTCATGTCAAGCTTTTCCCGGCGAACCGCTTCCGTTGAGCTTGAATTTGGGGCAACTGCTGCTACTCATCGAATCGAAAAACATCACGAACAACTGGCCATTTCTTCATCTCACAGTTAGTGAGAGCACAAGTAAGTGTGCGATTTTTCGCTATTGTAATCGTGTCTGTTATGGCTCAATTTCGTAGGTGATGAACGCAAACATCAGACCAAGGAAGCGATTTATATGGTCCAACAACAGCACCCCATTTGCAACGCATTGCTGGCATTCAGCTCTATTGGTGGCTTGGCTCTTTTAGCTCAGCACTTACCTACAGTATATCCTGAGGCGATCAGAGTTGCAAATCCTGAAAAGACGATGCCTGATTTCTCCGAATCCGAATGGATTAAGCTAGAAGGTATGCGCTGAGCTCTCACTGAGTCACTCATGATTTTTACTGTGCTCAACTTTCTCAGATGCCGATGATCTATACGAGGATATCGAAGAGGTGATGAGTAACTCTGCATCGCCCAGTTCGACGGGAACAATCTCGCAAATTCCTCCACATTCCCTAACTGCGTTCAGTTTGTTTTTGCGACTGCCTGGATATGCAGACGTGCTACTAAAAGACACCAAAAAGGCGATTTGTCTGTTAAGACTTATGTTGGGCGTTACTGACGACGGAGAAGGTAGACTGGCCAGGGCTTTGGACGAATGTCTAACTTTTCGACTGTTTGTTTTGTTTAGGTCGAGACATGTTGCAGTGGGCCGTGGCCTCATCTTTGGCAACCTTTCCATTTGAAGTGTTACGCCAGCTTTACGACGTATCCCCTTTGTGTTCCGACGATGGCCGACTTCTACGAAGAATCAGTATTAGTAGTGGAGCTGTGCAGCTAATTCTGTCTTGCCTGGGACTGCTGACGCATCACTCCTCAACCAATCATGAGAAGGACTCCGTTAAGAATCAGAAAACGAAGGAAGAACGCCAGCTTTACTGGGCGAAAGGTGGGGACTGTAAACTGAATTTGAATTTAAATGAGTAATGCGATTTTCTGTTTGTGATTAAAGGTACGGGATTCGGAACTGGATCCACCCAACAAAGCTGGAACGTTGAGCAAGCCCTAATGAAACAGAAAACTGAAGAGGAGCATGTGACAGTCTTATTGGATGTATTGGCAAGTTATATCAACCCCAATGATGAAGCTGGTGAAGAACTGGTCGGATATGTTCTACCGCCTCAGTTTCCCGAGATGTTAGCCAAAAGGTAAACTAAAAGGCTGTGCAAACTTGTTGTTTTTACAGTTTGTTTAACTAATTTTTCAGCGCTTTGCTCCCAGCCATTAGTTCCTATCTAAGAAATGATTCAGTATTAGACATGGCTAGACACATACCGCTCTATAAGGCCGTGTTGAAAGTTCTTAGAGCTTTGGCTCTCATTAAGCAGCTAGCCAAGCTGTTGTTACCGCAAAATTCCGAATGCAGCGAACTCTCGGTTAGTTCATTGCTCAATAATATG